TCCTATTTAAAAGAAAAGACTAACAAGAAAAGCAATTGATTCAAACAAACTAGAGCATAAGTGTGAAAACGTTTCAACAAATGAGTGAAAATACCGGAAGATATAGAGAATTACAGACTCATGGCAAACATAGAGCATTATAGATCAAGATAAAAAGTTATGAAATGTTACAAAAACATGGCCAGTAGAGAAGATAAAAAGGTTATAAATATCAAATACAACCAAATAATAAACACATAAAAAAATAATGCTCTTACAAATGATCAACATTATCTCTCAAATCATTTCGGTACTTGAAACTCGGTAGGCTATAGTTTGTAGGCGGTAATCAATAGATAATAATTATAAGCGGTAACGATAGGTCGATAAATCATCTCTAGTTCGATTTTCACTTTCCTTGCAAAACACATAGATCTCATCTCTCAATGTTTGGAGTTTCAATTGGTGTTTGTTCATCGGTTTCTATGTCTATAATTTTCTATATATATACTTCCAAAGTCATTCTTGTTAGTAAATAACTTTTGATTTAGTTTAATTTTGTAGTCTATAATTTGTACATTTGTTATTAGTTTTAGGTTATTTTGTTATTATTGATTACATATTATTTAAATATTAGTTTCTAGTTATTGCATTTATAGCAGGCTTGTGTTCCAATTAATCTTGCAATCTAGACATCCTAGACAGACTTAGAGTCCTCTCTAAGAGATTTTTAGGTTGTTGCATTTTAGTATAAGTAGTAGCTAATTAAGTTGAATTTTGAACATTTAAATGTCTTCGGAAACAAAAGTAAGATAACCTTCCTTGTTAAATTTAGCCGTTCTAATAAAAAAATTAAGAGATGGATGGACTGTTTTCCAATCATCTTATAAACTTTTTGTTTCAAAATCTTTTTAATTGAGGCCAACATAAAAGAATCTACAATACCACCTAATTGATTGTTTTTAATTTTTTTTTTTTGTAGAATAATTTTTAAAATTTGAAAATCAAATACATAAATTAAAATTTTAAAATATCATAATTTTACTTTCCATCCAAAAATTGTGTGGTCACTACATCTCACGGTGGTTGTTTACCGAATATCTATGCGAGTGGTAGGTACACTATATTATATCTCATCTTTCATGCAAATGGAAATTAAAAATTAAAAATAAAAAATCCTCTTTTGCCACTATTAAAAATCATTTCGTAAAATTGTGATATAGAGGATTACATATGTAACCCTCGTAAAATTCGTAATCGTATAAATGTACGTATTGAGATATTTATATTCATACGTATATACATATATAATATATCGATTACGTACGTGAAAATCTGTAACTGAGTCAACATATGTACTGGAATATGTGATATGTACGTATTTGTTGAGAGTAACGAGTGTACGTCAATATTTATATATAAAAAAAAACATTGGGTAAATTAGTTAGAAAATTTATTTTATATGGAATAAGTATAAATTAAAAAAAAAAGAGAGAGAAAGTGTTAATTGCCGAAATTTCGAGAGGAATTCTGAAAATGTAGTTAATTTAATTACCCTCATTTAATCACATTTTGGCCCCTACTTTCTACAAATTTTCATTGACCATCACCTCTTCTTCCTTGAAATTTAAACCCATCATTTCATTAATTTCAGCCACATTTACCTTGAATTTCACCACAAGCTTTTGACACTTGTAATGAACATTGAATGGATGAGATTATGTGAGATATTTAAGTAAGAAAAAATGGGATAAGGATGCATTTTTGGTGCATCCCGTAGCTGCCTTAAAACCAAGAAAGAAAGAGTCAAAGAGAGGGGAGAAAGAGGAAAAAAAGGGAAGGGAAAAGAAGGGGAAACTAAAAGGAAGCAAAAGAGATTTTAGGAAAGTTAATCCAATGTAAGTAGGTTTCATTTTTTTTCTTGCTTTGTTTATGCTTTCCATGTTTATTTTATGAGTTATTTAATTCATGTTAAATGTGATTATGGTATTTGTGATGATTTTAAACACTTGATGTTTGATGATGGATGGTTAAGCATGTGTGTTGAGAAATGTGCTTTAAGAGAAGATTTTCCGATTTTAGGGGTGGAAAAACCAGAACTTGGTGTGATTTATTTCGGCATCTTAGAGTGATTTTTAGAACAAATGCAAAGAATGAAAGTTGTTGATATATGTGTCTACTATTTTCCTTTAAACTTTCGTGACTTTTAGAGATATATATATGGAGTTATGACTGAATTGGTATGGATCGTTCAGATGGAACCTCTACTGGAAAAATATTTCATTCCGAAAGTTGTGCGATTTATTTCGGGATCATAGAGTGGTTTTTGGGCAGAAACTCAAAGACGAAAAGTTGTTCATCTATGTGTCTACTATATGTATCTAAAACTTCATGATTTTTAGATCTGTATGTAAGGATTTATGACTGATTTGGTACGGGTCGTTGAATGGACCAGCTACTGGAAAAGTTTATTTAGTTCCGAAACTTGTGTGAATTATTTAAGGATTTTAGAATGATTTTTGGAGGCAACTTAAAGAATGAAAGTTGTTGATCTATATGTCTAATATCTCCCCTTAAAATTTCGTGAGTTTTAGATATATATTTAAGGAGTTATGGCTGGTTTGGTATAGGTTGTTTAGGTGTGCCACTGCTGAAAAATTTTAACCTAAAATAAATGGACTTGGGCTTGGATTAAAATAAATGGGTTTGGACTAATATTAATGGGCTTGGACTTGAGTTAAAATGAGATGGGCTTGGATTTAAAAATAAAGTGGACTTAGATTAAATCAAATGGACTTGGACTTGGATTAAAATAAATGGGCTTGGACTTGAGTTAAAATGAGATGGGCTTGGATTTAAAAATAAAGTGGACTTAAATTAAAACAAATGGACTTGGGCTTGGATTAAAATAAATGGGCTTTGGACTTGAGTTAAAATGAGATGGGCTTGGATTTAAAAATAAAGTGGACTTAAATTAAAACAAATGGACTTGGGCTTGGATTAAAATAAATGGGCTTTGACTAATATTAATGGGCTTGGACTTGAGTTAAAATGAGATGGGCTTGGATTTAAAAATAAAGTGGACTTAGATTAAATCAAATGGACTTGGACTTGGATTAAAATAAATGGGCTTGGACTTGAGTTAAAATGAGATGGGCTTGGATTTAAAAATAAAGTGGACTTAGATTAAAACAAATGGACTTGTACTTGGATTAAAATAAATGGGCTTGGACTAATATTAATGGGCTTGGACTTGAGTTAAAATGAGATGGGCTTGGATTTAAAAATAAAGTGGACTTAGATTAAATCAAATGGACTTGGACTTGGATTAAAATAAATGGGCTTGGACTTGAGTTAAAATGAGATGGGCTTGGATTTAAAAATAAAGTGGACTTAGATTAAATCAAATGGACTTAGACTTGGATTAAAATAAATGGGCTTGGACTTGAGTTAAAATGAGATGGGCTTGGATTTAAAAATAAAATGGACTTAGATTAAAACAAATGGACTTGGGCTTGGATTAATGTTAATGGGCTTGGACTTAAATAAAATAAACTTGGAAATGGACTTGGACTAAAATCAAAAGGCTTGGTTTTAAAGTAGATGGGCTTAGACTAACGAAAATGGGCTTAGGCTAAAATAAGTGGACTTAGATAGAAATAAAAAGGATTTTAAAATTTTAAAGAAAATTTATTCTTTCATAAAGGAAAAAAAAAGAATTGGACCTTCTTTAATTATTAATGAAACTAATAAACAATATTAATGAGCGGAGGTTGTGTTCCAGTTATGAGTACCATGATTAGTATGTAAGCGCCGAGTGAATCCCGAGTGATGGTTGGACCGTAAGTATGGCTTGAGAAAGAAGGGTTGGTACTCGAGTTTGGTTGAATGTGATTAAACATGTCATCACGTGCATCATGTGCATTAGGGGTGGAAATAAATTGAGAAAAATCATTGAGTCTTGAATTGAAATGATTTGGTAACCGAATTGAGTGGATTGGGTAATAGCAAGGAATCCATAGTGCGAGCTCTATTTACTAACACCGTTAAGCGAGGGATAATTCCGTTAACCGTGTGCTACAACGAGGGATAATTCCGTTACGAGCGATAGGTGATATTGAGATCACCGAGAGAAAGTAATAGAGCGAGTAGGTGATAACACGATCATCGAGAGATTGGGCGCACGGACTTGCATATACCTAGGGTACCTGGATTAAATGGATGAAAATATGAAAAACACAATAACACCGCATATCACGTGCATCACCCTACTTACCGAGCTTTGGCTCATTCCGTTATTGTATTTGTGCATTGTTCGAGCAAAGGTAAAATTAAGCCGATCGAGGATGCTATCGGTTCTCGCTAAAAGAGGCTTATGTGTCACTCATAAAAATAGGAATATCTTTTGTGTCACTCATAAAAGAGGCTCATGTGTTACTCATAAAAAGTAGGGGACTTAGTCCCAATAATATGTCGCTCACCGATCACGCTTGTTAGGTAATAGGTAAGGGAGCCGAGGTGTCACAACACACACAATTTACATGCTATCACCAATTCATAATCTATAGATAATCGCACTAATTTAATTCACAAAAATCATCGACAACATAATGATTTATAATTTAATATTATTGCGAACTGTACTGCTCACGATAATGTGCACACGTTGATGTTTAATACAAGTAATAGAAATTTTTTAAAAAAAAATAGTATCAATTTATTCCAGTAACTAAAAAACAAAAATGGGTTATTATTATTTATTACGATAACGAGACGAATTCCCTTCAAAACTAGGACATAACCGTAAAAACCATTAGGGCATTCCCGCCACTCTATCAAAATAGCCAAACGGTCATCTATTATTTATAACTAACTTCAATACGTCAACAAATCCCATTTCTCCACGTGTCAACTCATTCCCGCCAACTCCTTCCTTCTCAATCCATATACCCTTCTCTCTCCCTCTGGTCTCTGCACCATAACCAAGACCAAGAAAACACAAATCTCCAAAACCTCCATTAATGGCAGCAGCCAAAGTTCTCCTCTCTATCCTCCTCTTCCTCTCTTTCTTCTCCTTCTCCTCGTCTCTTCCCACCGAAACCCTCCGTCAAGCCGCCATAATCCTCTCAAACTCCGGCTACCTATCGATGTCACTAACCCTCCCATTGGTCTCCAATTCTTTAATCCCACACTCTCCTTCTCTCACCATCTTCTCTCCCTCTGATACTGCATTTACTCAATCAGGCCAACCATCTCTTTCTCTCCTCCAACTTCACTTCTCTCCGCTGTCTTTCCCTGTCAATTCCCTCAAAACCCTCTCTCAAGGTGCTCAGATCCCCACTCTTTTTCGCAATTACTCACTTACCATCACTTCCACCGGTGACGATGTTTCACTAAATGGGGTTAAAATTAAAGGGTCGCCGGTTTATGATGACGGGTCTTTGGTAATTCTTGGCGTTGATAGGTTTTTCGATCCGGGTTCTGGGGTTCCGCGTCAGAATCTTGGATGTTCTGCTAAGGCCAGTAGTGGTTATTACTCGTTTAATGAGGCTAGTAGGTTTTTGAAGTCAAGAGGATACTCTTTTATGGCCTCTTTTCTTGATTTGCAATTAATAGGGGGTTTAAGGACAACACTATGTTAACCATCTTTGCTCCTGATGATGAAGTGATGAGAATTTTTCATGGGAATCTGAGTGAGTACTCTTCAATCTTTCTTAAACATGTAGTTCCTTGCAAGATTACGTGGGGTGATTTAGTTAATTTTGATGATGGGGTTGTATTAGAGACTTATTTGAAGGGATTTGGAATTACTGTCTCAACATCTGGTGATAAATTGATGCTTAATGATCAAATCTCAGTAAGTTCCCCAGACATTTATCGCAATGACTGGCTTGTGATTCATGGACTCCAAGGGATTCTTTTGGAACCGGAGAATGAATATAGTTTCTTGATGATGATGATGATGATGAATTTTAAGGCTGCCAAGATCTCGAAAGACTTTTCGTTGTCAGGAAGTTCGTGTTTTTTCACTTAGATGTAGACTTGGTGTTGGAGGTATCTGGTTTTGCAGTTTTCTATCACCTTTCTACGATATGAATATGGCTCAAGATACTCTTTTTCAATGATGCTTTATGTTGTTAGAAAGTGAAGCCTGTGCATTCCATGATATTCCATCTATATGACTTGATTTTCAATTCTTTTCTGGTGTTTTCCTTTCTAGACCATGACAATACTACATGATTCCTAGTTCAATGGCTGAATTGAGTTGCTAATCTAGAAAATGCAGGAATAATCGGAGAAGTTGAGTATTATTTACTTCTGGTAATTAAGAAATAGGAGAAATTAGGAGATGAAAGCTACACTGACATGCTTCTGTTACTGCAATTCAAAGTCCTGAACTTGCAAAAGCATGGATAACATGAATACAAGCACGTGTTTCTCAATTGCACATCTTCATATTGGTGAATTATAGTGGGTAAAGTCATATCCTAAAGTGTAACACTACACAGGCCAGCCAGTTCATTCAGCAGTATGTCAAACTTAGCAATTTCCGGTTAGGATTAAGACATAGCTGCCTTTTCCATTTTTCCTTGTTGCATCCAAAAAATCAGATGGATTCAACTAAGTGAAGAACAGATGCATAGAGGCTTATGAACTTGCATTCAGTTTACCTTCACATGTTTGATTTTCTTCCGAGTGATAAGAAGTCTTGAGCCTACCTCATTTTAGGAGGTCATTGGTAAAATAAGGTGGGGAAATTTGGTTTCAAGAGTACGTATTGCTGCAAACTGACAAAAGACAGTGAATAGCTCCTCTTTCTTGTTTCTGGTATTGAACAGCAGCTTAGGCTCATAACTAGCTATGCTTATGCGTTTTGATTGATTTTTTTCAACTTAGATTCTATTTCTCCATTTTACTTGCAGAACTCTCGTGTCTGAGTCGCTAATAATGCACTTAATCATCCAAACTTTCACTTCTCTTGCTTACTGGAACAAAACAAAAGAACAATAATAATAATGGAAGGATAAGAAGGCAAAGGTTTAGTGTCTTCTGTTTAGTAGTTGCAAATATCGGCCTTTACCTTAGATTTACTCACAAAGATTGACCTTCAAAGAGAAAAACCTACCGAGATTCTAAGGTGATGAGAAGACAAAAGCTGTGATGCCTAAGCTTCTCTATCTATTTTTTGGCAGTTGGCTTGTAAGTTATTATGGGAACTATCTCTAATGAAGTCTATGCTGATTTACTTTAGTACAGGTGGTCGTCATAATAGAGGTTTGCACCCAAAATTAGATGTTTCTTCGTCTAGATGGTGGCTGTGGTTTTCCGTTAACTAAATAAGCTGTGTCTACCTCACAGAAACTATCTCTAATGAAGTCTTTGCTGATTTGCTTTAGTACAGGTGGTCGTCATAATAGAGGTTTGTACCCAAAATTAGATGTTTCTTTGTCTTGATGGTGGCTGTGGTTTTCCGTGAACTAAATAAGCTGTGTCTACCTCACAGAAACTATCTTAACTTTTAACGCGCAATGAATGCGAAGGTTCTGATGATCAATGATACTTAACCTTGTGCGCAATGGGTGTGCAGTATCGTATGGATCGTGAAGAAATGGTCATCATGTAGGTTGATTTGGATTGTAACTTGCAGAAGAAATCACCAAGTACAGAGATTAACCAAAACAAATTTCTTCCACTATACAATACTAACAAGTACATTACAATGGCTACAATCTCCAACTCAAAATGGAACTTCGCTCCATCTTGGTTTCTTCCCCTAATAGATGATACAACAGCTCAAAAAACAAACCTAATCTTACACTGATTTCTACTACACTACACTAGTATTCGACAATGTTGAATCATTCTTCTCATTATTTTTGGAACCTATCTTAACACTCGTACAGCCACCGCTGCATTTTATTGGTAAGGATAGCTTCGCAAACACTTCCTCCCTTTGGGGGTGGTTTGCATATAGTATCCAGAGAACGAGACACAGCAAAACTCCTACTGAGATCAAGCCCAGCCCTGCATTTACAATCTTGAGATAATGCTCCAATGAAGGGCAATGACTCGAGGTAATTTCTTGGAATGTGTCCCTGACAAACTTGCAATCCTGGAGGCTGAGCAAAACCGGGGTGTAGTACTCAAGAGCATAGCTCTCGTTAACCGCAGCCACCAATTGTCTATAGATGTCAGGGGTCACCCTACCAACAGTTGTGCACTGCCCAGATGCTGAAACCATGCAGGTGTAGCTTTGCCAAACCTGAGAACGTAAACAAACAAATCGATTTCAAATTTGTTCCATGAGTACACAATAGGTAATCAAGTAGTTTGCCATAACCTTAGTGTCTAAACATAACCTCAAAATCAGAAAGACCAAAAAAGCATAGAAAGCTCTACAGGGTTAAGGCACCAAAAGGCAACAATCTTTGTCCCTCTTCTATCTTTCACAAAATCCGTATTCAGTCTTTGACAACTATCTAAAGTTCATAATTTCTTAACTGTGAGAGAAATAAAGGACTCTGACAAAACATCAAATCAGTTAGAAGTTCATGCTAAAGATACTATAGACACGCAAAAGTCTTGAAGATATTGACACAGTATTTTGTTAATTTACAGATTTCACCTGTTCATGTGACATTATAGTAACGAACAGGCTTGAAAATGTGATCCTATAGGACATGCAAAGAAACATGAGGCCAATTCTCTCTTTCCATCAAACTATAAGCTCTGAGGCACCCCCTCTTCCACTTCTGTTTCTCTTCTGATTCAATGGTAAGAGACTTCACATGTCCAGTTATACATCGAAATTAACAGATTCTAATAAGTTACATTGTGAAGTTAAAACCAAATATCAGCTACTTCATTTTCTATGTGAACACCCTTAGCAATTTATACTTTTCAATCAAGACCACGTCTGGTGCAAAAAGCATGTGAAGTTAAAACCTCAGGAGCTACGATGACAAAAGCCAAACTGCTCTTTTTCAATATTGAGAAATATGATATGCACAATGGGTGAGAATCATGCACGCACATGCAACGTAGCTATTTTAGGCTTCAAAATAATCTAATGCATAAGCAACCAAACAACTCTTGTTTTTCCAAATACATTGATTGGTCTTGTACAAAATTCTGAGTCAGCTCATTCTGTATATTGAACTGATCCTCCTAGAGGAACTAATCAGTTGATAAGGATTAAGAAGTCACTGTTACATTCTATGCAAGGCAAAATTAAGATGTAGGCAAAGATGATAGACATACCACAGATGCATTTGCCATAGACACCTCTCGGGGCTCGCATTGCCGATCTTGATAACGAGAGTCAAATGGGTAGCACAGGGGAGGCATGGAAGGTCCAGATTGGTTATAATAATTATACTCAGTCTGGGATGGATTTGCATTTGCAAATGTGTATATATAGGTATTGACAACATTTACAATATCATTGACGACTTCTTTACTCTGGACAAGTGTTTTATTTGTTGTTCTTTGATCAACACAAGGAAGAATGCTGCTAAGGGCAGTTGCTGCATGGGGATTTTCCACCCACTCTTCCATGGCCAAACAGGTGTCGGAAATTGCACTGATACAAAAGCAGAAAACATTATATATCTAAGTAACGACAGAAGATTAGATTGTTCAATATGCAATTCTTTTTCAACTGAATAAAAATTCCACACGCAAGTATTCAAAGTGCATTATGCAAAAACCATAGACATCATCATTATCATGGCACAATATTGAAATGTATCTCAGTCGTCATTCAACTAAAATATCTTGAGAAGACAAGCGAAATGGGGGAAATCAATAAAATCATGATGACTTGGTGAGGGCTTAAATACAGGAGCGATATTGCTAAGTAGTCAGAGGAAGGACAACAAAGCATTCAATCATCATTATAAATATAGCAGTATATACAACCAACCCAAATATCACAAAAACCATAGTGCAGGTGGTTGTTTATGCATTACATCTGAAAGAGGTCTATTGTGAACATGATGGATAGCATAGTAAATTTCAAATTATGCAAACTAGCAAACATAGCATGACATTATTAATGGAGTTCTCTCCATGTAAGATCCAGAATATTAGTATCTTACTTGTTGAGAAGGATAAAGACTCCACAAAGAATGAAGGTAACTGCCACTAACAACCACCCACTCACTACAAATCTGCAACAATACGTATGTGACGTCAGATACAAAAATGAAGAGCATCCAGTGAGTAGATGTTAATATCATTGCTACAATACCTCCCCACTAAAATTAAGTGTACATGCATGCAACAAATATGAGGATAACTTACATATGAATTGCATGTTGGTGTCCAAGGATAGACAGCACTGAAACAAAAACAAGCCTATCAGTTACAAACAGGCAACTGAAAGGATGAGAAGTAAAATAAGCTCTCAGTCAACAAGGTTCCATTGGAAATACTTACAAAAACCAAGCAGAGCCAGGATAAGCATCACTGCAGCCACTGTGATCAATGCTGACCGCCTGCAACAATTAATTCAAAATCAGCCCATTAACAATGACCATCATGAATATTAATGAAATACCAAGTTGGTCATGATTTCAGATACATACACAGCATTGAATACTTTTACTATTTTTGCAGAATTTTCTCTAGTCTTCTCAGTCAGTGTATCAGCTGCAGCATTGAGATCCATGTTCAACTTGTCAATATCATCCATGACATTAGTAGGAAGGACAAGCTGGGCTATATTGATGGTCTTCGCAAGAGATAGATACTCCGTAACGTTTTTCAGGGTTTGCACAGTGTAGTCTGACTGGTTTACAACATATTTCAGAGTATTCATAGCTTCACTGTGAAAGTCATCCTGCCCAACAGAGAGAAGGATACATCCAATCCTGGAAAACAACAAAATAAGGCATCAGGAAGAATTACAAAGAAAAGGCCAACAGGAATAGGAGAGACATGAACTGCTATGAGACAAATGGAAAATCAGCCTTGAATGACATGGTAGATGTTTGAGAAATAAAGTATTACAGCTAACAGAAAGATATTCTGGTCTACTTGAAATATGGTTCAGCACTAATCAGTTTTGCAATTGCCAAAAAAAAAAAAAAAAAAAAAAAAATAGAACCTTTAGAACCTAGCGTTTAAAGAGAGACAGTTAACCATCCAAGTTCCAGAAACACTTCAGTTAGCACATTAAACTTTTCAAATTTAGAAACTTCAAATAATGATGGCAAAGTTTCAGACGACACCATGCAATTTCCACATTCATAGTCTCCAAATACCAAGGAGGAGCTTTTAGAATTTAACTATTTCTCCCTTTCTCAGAACCCAAACAGCACAAAAAATTGCACTCGCACAAACAATAAAATTTTCTATGACAAGAGGGGTCAATACCGAGGATGAGGAAACTACATCACGGGCGAAATTTGACATTTTTCTCACATACGACAAGGCAATTAATTCTCATATCAAATGTGATTCTAAATCAACATTGTATCACAATCAGTCAAATATAAAATTGAGAAACTATGACAACTATAAGCATACGATATACCTCCCCATATATTATATATGCAATAAAGCAAACATAAACGCAATCAAGTGGTGATATCAAAATTAAAAAAAAAAAAAAAAAGCCCAGAAAAATGCAAATGAATGGTTATAACAGTAGAGGTAAGTTGGTAGTTAGGATCATTACGCTGCAGCACAAGTGAATAGTATAAGCATTATGAGACAAATCCTTTGAGATCTGTTTGATCCTTTGCCTTTAATGTTAATCCTCCATTTGCAGCAATGATGTGCTACAAGGGCCAAGCCAAACAAGAAAAACCAGAGGAAAGCCAGAATAAAACCAGCAGCACCTGTGAAACCAACAGACTGCAGATAGAAGGATCAGAACTGAGAACATCGAATGAACTTTATTAAATTTCAGTAAAAAAAATATGGACAATCAGAGATGAAAACTGACAAGAAAAGGTGTATATCAGCATTAGTAACCAAAGATCCCAAGACTAGAGTGAAAGCAATCAAGCACGCTGATAATTTTATGTAACAATTCTACTTGTTACTGGTACTTCAATCTGATTTTTAATTTATGCGTAACTAACGCAGTCTGCCTCCCACCAAGATGTTTATTGTACTGAAACAAAGAAAAATGCTAATAGCCTTGCTTCACAATTAGATTTTAACCATGCCCTCTTTGAAAAGTTGTCGAACTGACATTGCCAATTTAATTTCACACAGTTGATAATCAATAGGTGGTGAAAAGTGAGATGATTTTCTTCCCCGGTATCTGCATAATATACTGATGTTCCTCAAAGCGAATGTTGCTTGAACAAAATGGCAATTCTAACATGCCAATTAACAGATCAAGGTAACACCTTTTCTTTAATTGTCATGGTAATCATTTTCTTTTAACCACGATCCGAAAAATGATGTTTTCAAACTTATGACTGTTGTATATGTCAAAATATAACGTAACATAGAACAGAAACAATACTTACAGCCCAGTAATGGCTGTCAGTGATATTCCAACCTCGTCGATAATGCTTTAATCCATGAAGAATGTCCGGTCGATTTGTCCTCTTTGCCGCCAATACAAGCGTGTTATTAGACCCGTCATCAGAAGGCCCAGGTGCTTGTGCAACAGCCTCGGAGATTCCATTTTTCAACGGCCCTAAATTCTCCTGCCCTGCACACACAAAAGCATAAACGGATAGGGAAAAAAAAAAAGAATGAAGAAGCTATTTGCACATAATAATCCAGGACAAAATGCTTAATCTAGTCAATTGCACATGCTAACGGAAGAAGTAAAGTTTCGTCCCTATCCTTTTAAGAAAAACAGCAAAGAGGGCTCTTAAATTAGAGAAACAAACATCATTAAAACCCCATTTGGCTGCCATGCTTTAGAAAAGAATGCACACCTATCACAGAAAGCTCAGTACTTACTGTGAAGCTCAATTTTGAGCCAAAATGTGCGTATCTGATATGCAAAATAATAACTCTCTTTCCTTACATAGGGAGAAAAAAGATCGAATACATTACTGGGAAATCAACAAACCCAGATACAAAATGTGGAAAAGAGATAGCAATATCATCAATTTCCAAAATGAACCAAGATACCAAATTGCACATTGCTGAAAACGTACCCAAGATATACTTGAGAGCATCTCTAGAAGGGCCATTTTCAGGCAGAGCTAAAACTGAACAGCTCAAAGAAACAACAAGAAACAATAAACCAAATCTTGGAACCAAGAACATCTTCATCTTTTGCAGCTTCCCCTGCAAAACCAAACTCTCTCAACACCACAAGAAAATCAAGAAAAACCATTCCCAAACATCTTGGCCTCTCTCTCTCTCTCACACTCTCTCAAAATCTAGAGAGGTCAAGAAAAGAATCGAAGGAAATAGAGACAGAACGGAAGAGAGGTGATGTGTTTCTTCTAGTACGTGACTAACATTTATGTTGGGTTTTATAAGAGAAAAAACAATCAAGAGAGAGTGTGTGTGTGTCAAAAGATGGTCCTGATTTGCAGCGAAAAAAAGTTGATCCTCACATGGGTAGAGGGAACTGAAAAGGCGGGTGTGATTGATAACTTAATAGCGGAGTACTCTACCCCCTCCATTATAAAGCTGACTGCTACGCTTGCTTAAGTGCATTAACTAAAGGCATACTGCTTATGTTTGTTTTGTTTTTTTTAATTGTTTTTATTACGGTGCACATTAAGTTATTTATTAAACTACTTTCCATAATTCAGCATCAGTTGCTTCTTTTTGTCCTTTCTGGTTTTTTCCCTATTTTATAATAACTACCTTTGGAGTTTTTCCATTTTTGCCTCACCTACCCCTCACATAAATATCAATGACAATTGTGTCCTCGTATTCTATTGCTATTGCCCAAAAAAACCATAGCCTTGACCAAACCTATTTTCTAGACTTTGGACTTTTTTTAATAAAATTGTTTTCCAATTAATTTGTAAGTTCATTTATTTTTTATTTTAGATTTCGAAAATATTTTCACATGCGTATAATATAAAGTTAATACGATATTTTGATAAAATTATGATGTTTTGTTAAAAAAAATATGTTTTTTTTTATTAAAAAAAAATATCGACATCTTTAAGAAATACTTTTCAACTAATTACGATACAATGATCATAAAAAGATGTTAAATACATTTGTTTTAAACAACAATATTTATCAATCATTATATAAAATTTATAATAATTAATTCTTTATTGTATAGATAATATATGTATAAAGTTATATTAATAGTGAAAATAGTTGGATTCATGCAACTAAATTACGTATAAGTATGAGATAAGATAAAATATTTGAAGTCCACATGTTTAGTTTACGTGTGGTTTTTATTTGAGGAACGATCCTTAAGGTCAATTATGCGAAACGAAAATGATTGTCCAGGTGAAGAAGAACGGAACGGCTTGGGCTTGCATATACTGTCAGTGTTGGTTTACGTAAGTAAAATCCTGGATTTGTTCGCTTTAAATGGTCTTCTTCTCATATATATATATATATATATATATATAGCCCATTAGTTATTGATGATAATAACGTGGAGTTGTCATGGAGATTGTGTTGAATGGGTTAGGTGTAGCGTAGCATTATGTTGCTCTCCTTTTTGTTGGACCGAATTAACCTGTTCGTTGAAAGATGGGGCCCATAGAGAACCTTTAGTTTGTTGGGATCTATGAGCAGATCAAATCACATGGCCTCTGTTGAGTCTAGTGCCAGCGCGTGTAAAAATTATTGTATGTGATAAATCTTGCTAAGCATTACTCCCGTATCTTCGCTTGCTTTCTATTTTTTTTCCTTTTTTTTCCTTCACTGACCAGGGAAAGAAATCTTAGATTTCGGACTTGAAGCGACGCGTGGCAAGAAATATACTGGGCCCATCTGGTGCCCAATAAGTCTAATATCTACGCTCGGAATGGTGGGGCCAAAAATCCCCTATAATCAATCTCTGCATGAAAAGTAGCGCCACCGCTTCAGCAACCACCACCTGATTACGCGGTTTGTTCGCGGTTATCCAATCAGTCTTTTGTAAGGTGCAGATTGCGCCACGTTTCTATTTTTTCTCATCTTGTGGAAGAGATTTTCTTAGAAATTACGGAGTAGTAGTGTACAAAAGACCCGAGCCATAGGTTTGCAATCGTAAGGATTAAATCATAATTGCCCTCAAAACTCGGGGACTAAAGATTGATTTATTCTTGTTTTATGAATTTTTGTTATCATGCTATCTGTAAACCATTTTAAGTCCTGAAACATCTTTCATTAGATTGTTTATTTATTTATTTTTAGTGGATGTAGTCAAAAAGTCGTGATTTCTACTATTAAAAATTATTAATATTTTTATGGACATCTGAAAATGAATGTTATATTTTGTTTTTAATATCAATAAACATGAAATTTGTTTTAAGGGAAACATATTAAATTTTCAATAAGTAATGATACCCAAAAACTTTTTAAAAAATAAATCCTCTCTAATAAATTATTTTTATTATTCTTAAGTAGTGTAAGAGGTGGCAGATTTGTAAGGATAGGGCTAAAAAAAAATTGGGTAAAATCCAATATATATGTTTAAATTGCAAAATATTCTGGGTATTTTACTTAATTGACCCCATTAGAATATTGCAACATTGAAGTAGTGAGGCCATTTTTGTTATTTTACTTGCAAAATTCAACTAATTGGTGCATTGTATCCTACTATTAAGCATTTTCATATGCGTAAGAATTCTATTCTTTGAATCAAAAGTTCTCTTTAGCGTTAATATGTTCTTTTTTTTATATGTCATCAAATAATTACTTAGCAAACTCATTTAACGTGGGTACTATCTTCGAAAAAAAAAGGATAATTAAAATAAATAAAAGATGAAGCACCAAAATAGAAAATTAATAAAAAATTGACACCAAAAATACAGTTTATCTAAAGAATAAAAGCCATAAGCTAGAAAAGGACGCCAATTATTTTATTTTTTCTTTCTTTCTTTTATATATGGAAAATAAACCGGTCTTTATTCTTTTTGGGCGCTGGCATGATCCTTCTTAAAGAATGCCTTTCCACGTTATTCTTCTCTTCAAGTGGTAACACTACATCATCCAAATATCTTGTTTCGTTACCATAGAGATTTTTATAGCTTATAATTACGAAGATTACGTATATTACTTGTTAGTACAGTATTAAATTAAGGACCAAATCCAGACTCAGACGTACGTAGTTATCTGTGTTGGGTTTGGTTTCGCCTTGCTTGGCCGTTTTGAATGCAGTGGTTTAAGGTCCACATCAAGAAGGGATGGCTGGCTGGCATCCAAATCATGCTAGTTCTAGTCTCTTACGGAGGCAAGAAATGACCCAAGCCTAAGACAAAACAGGGCTAATATTAGAGATATGACTTGTGCCATGGCATGACGACGATATTGCACTATCAGATTAGGTGAAGAAAGCAAAACTGGCACGTAACGCCATTTTGATGTCCTCCTATCTTTCGGCTTACAAAAGCACATTGCCGATTGCCGAAATGGGTTTTTGCCTCCTTTATACGGGACAACTCAAACTTGGGTTTTATTTGAGTTTTATCTATTCTTAATTTGAGATAAATGAATATGTTTCAAGATTTAGAGAATTAATATTGTAATTTATAGAAATAATAATGGACTAATTAAATAAAATAGATACGATAATAAGAGGCATTAATGAAAAAAACATGAGAGGAGGAGAATGCGATAATAGTATGGTGTAAAACTAGTACCCGACAGGTGAGTGATAAAAGTTTAGAAATTTTTTTATTAGGAATTCAAAAGTTTTATTCCTTTACGTGAGACTCGTACTTATAATAAAAAAAATCATGATCTTTTAAAAGTTAGAATTGTGGCACGCCATTCAAATTTAAATAGTTAGATTTAAATTAAAAATGTTAGTTTTTTTTTTCTTGCTTTAAACTATTTCAACTTATCAATAAAGATTAAAGAAAAGTAATAATTGAGTCTTTTTTCAATGAATCCTATTTCAAACCCACTAAATCAATCTCTATAATTTCAATTGACAATGCATGAAACACTTTTCATTTTAAAATGTATGTGTTTATCTTCACGATTCAAGACTTTGTGTTGAACAAGACATATCTTTAATTCAATTCATTTGTGATATAGTTTAGATTTCGTATTAAAACTAATACATATATATATATATATATATATATAATAAAAATTAATTAATTTTAGAGAAAATCCATCACATACTTAATGTACTCATATTTTAATTTTTATTTGAAATCAGATATGATTCGTCACACATGTGTACGCTTGCAAATATTTGTGAATCGAGGGAGCTATATTGTATTTGTCCAGCCACCATCACACGACGATCTATTTCCCTCGGATTTTTGTATTTGCCGGATTTTGTTGAGTAAATATTAAATACTTGTCAGAGAAGATGTGGTTCCCAATATATGAATTTGTAGTAGCATCATTTATTCTGGACGAAACCTGTATAAATGCAATCAATATGTTAATTTACATTGCTTTCCTGAAATAACCTAAACTCCATCTCAAAAAAAAAAAAACAAAAAGAAAAACAAACAAAAGGAAAGAAAAGGAACAAGTTACGTCTGAACACACCAAAAGTCGAATCGACTGTCTCGAACAAGTGTAATTGTTTTTGTCCTCAAGCAAGGAAAAAAAATCAAGGAACGGGTTTTTAAAAAATAAAAATAAAAGACCACTCGTTTTTCTTATGTTGTTGAAAATATATTACGTATTATAATTTTCTTCCAAAAAGGTTCAAACAGTGTTTTCCTTTCTATTATATTTTATATTCAGCATTTGTCAAATTGGCTACGGAAAATTTTTCTTTTTCATTAAAAAAAGTTTATAAATTAAGAATATATTTTTTATAATGAATAGAATTATCTTGATCATCTTCGATATTATCCTTCAAATTATTGAGCTACGTTGTTGCATATGTATGATCCAATATTAACAAAACAAAACTAAACAAAAACATTAGTTTACTATTCATTAATATTATTTCAAACATTATTTATTCAGACTTATATACACTATTTATATAGATTTATAAGCAATGTTCATTTCATTAATAGTCCATACTTTAAGTGGTGTGACTTATGTTTTAAAAATGTATAAAAATATAATACTATTGAGCTAATTAGAATAAAATAATACAGTTATTCCAATACATATAGAGTCTTAAAAGTTACACATGATGGCACAATCTTGATGAAGGAAGAAAATTGTGATAGTTTATATTGTTTGATTAGAAAGATAATAATCCCGAGGAGTGGTCGAGAATAGAGTGCAAGTGATGATATTTATCTTAAAAGAATTTCTTTAATGATCGAAAAAGAAACAGAATTATCCATTATTAAGTTTCGGATAAGTGTGAATGAAAATATCCTATTGAGGAAGAGGATGGATCCAAGATACTCTGTAGAATTAATAAGTAAAGTTGATTTGAAATAGCTCTACATGGGCATTTATAATTTTTTTTTTTATTGCATAGAGTTTAAAATTATTTGTGGATTCAAGTAATGCATAGCTTGTAAATTTTAAAGTCAACTGTTACTTTTATTTTTTTTATTTGGAACCAAAGAACTTCAAGATGATAAGAATGTTTGCTAAGATGGAGATTGTTGGATTCGTTGCTCATATTTTCTAGAGTAATGGTTAAGTAAATAAAGTGTAACAGTGATCAAATATTCCTTATCAACTAAGGATTCCTTTTGGCTTTTGCAAATTGGTGAGAAGATGTATAGTTTTAGTGTACAAAATCAAAAATTGAGAGATTTTCTGAGAGTAGATATATATAAAGAGTTTTGATATTGAATCTTAGATATAAAAATCATAATTATATTCTTGTATTAATTTTTTTGTAATAAAAAATTACTCTCCGATTTATATAATATGTAGAATTTTATTGAATTATATTAAATCTTATGTGTCTACTAATAATTTTAAATATCTGCATTGCTTGGTATTTCTTCAAATAATAAAAGAATGATTTACGCGATGATTAGCCAAGTAAAATTGCTTCAAACCACTCAACCATCCAACCGTCGGTTGATTAACTATGTACAGTTTTTCTCATCACTAAGTATGTTGGTACGTCATTCTTTGACATTCCACTCCTCGACGCATCACAACTCATAGGAAGGGTGGGCCAAAAAATGTCTGTAACTCTAGCTAATGTGCAAGTGGTGTATTTTTTTTTTTTAAAGGATATACAGTGAAAGAAAGAAAAATGGCTCGGTTCTGGTTAGGAGTTGAGATAATTTGGTGGGCACTTTGCAGCATTGTGAATAGCAGCCATTGTACGTAGCCAAGCAAGTCGGACTCGAAAGGAGCTAGAAAGCAATCAATAGCATACATCACAATAGCATAGAAGGAGGCCATCCAATTAGAATGTCCCAACTCCCAACCTCATAAAGTTGAGTTGTGCCCATCTTTCGTCATCATTTTCGCCTTGTCTGAATTTGGGTCTCTTCGAGCCATGGGCAGGTGACTTGCTGCTGTATTTATTGATGAAAAGTTGGCAAGTCGCACAGGCAAAGATGACGTAAAACGGCAATCCAATTAGCCACCGTTCCGTGTATACAAACTTCATCATCAAGGTAAACGAAGGAAATTAAATAGGGTTACACCTGTTCAATCACTGTTGTTAATTAACTTGGGGCCTCCTGTTGTTGTCAAGAGAAATCAATGCTTACCGACATGTAATAACACCTAGCAAGTAGAAGCTGGTCCGAAATGCTTACTAAGAATATTTTGACTATTTTATGTGATTCTGTTTAAACCACATTATGTAATATATTAAGGGGTCCAGCTGGTTATTGCAATTTGCAAACCTAATGAGTAAAGGCGTTTTCCTTGTAGAGCAAGAGAGAGAATTTGTACGTGAGAAAGTACCTAAATATTATTTTCCGCCGAAATTTGTGTTTATTTTCCATTTTAAATTTTTAGTCCACTGAGGATTACATGGTGAAGGCAACTACTCTTCCTCCTTTTTGCTTACCATCAGGAATGTTAGAAATCTTGGGTATTTCACATAATAAGTTAAGTATGTTATAAAGGAAATTTAAAAGTGTTTTTAAGAGAGATTTTTATCTCATATTGAAGAGAAATAGAAAAAAGAGACAGCTTATAAAGTAGAACCTCTAATAAAAATTTTAAATATTTGATTAAAAAAATTGTAGAAAAAACTAAGTTAATTGGTTGAAATTATATATATAAATATATATATTTAAACAATTAAAGATTAGCACTTAACACGTGTGTCGGTAAGAAATTTATTTTTATTTCTTAATGTAATTAAATTCGTAATATGTTTTTTTAAAAATTTTTTATTACGATCGGTTAATTATTAACAACTTTCAAACAAATATAATAGTTGACTTTATAACGAGTTAATCTTATGATCGTTATAATCTAACGATTACAATTGTTCGATTGTGATTATTAGAATCGAATAGTTATAACTGTTAGAATTTAATTGTTAATTTCAACAATCAAGTATGTTATGAAAGAGTGTCGGTAATCTATAAATAGGAGACTATTGTATAAGACAAGATTAATTATTTTCTCCACAATCCTTCTCTATTAAAATTTTTTTCTTTTAAAACACTACAACTTTAAGATATATTCTCTTGAAAGAATTTCAAGAGTGCTGTCTGTTATTCCTTATGTACGCAAATTGTATTCTACAGGTGAATTGTTAAAATTCTTAAAGCATTATAATAGACAATAATCATCTTAAAAACAATATGAGATATTTTTTATACATAATTAAGCACTACGGTAATTCTATTCTTCTTTAAGATTGTTTCAAGTTTTCTAACAATGAATGCAAGTGAGGAATTTAATCCAGTCCTTGACTATAATTATAAAGGTTCTGACTTGATTAGAATCAATTGCCAACGGTTCGAAAATCCTAGTAACAAGTGATCAGACTTTTTTATCTCTTCAAAAGTCTTACTCTTCTTGTTCAACGAAAGTACTAATGAGTTATAAGCTCATTAACACCAAGTGATAAGGTTGAAGGTTTGGATGGATTTTAGACAGGAACTTATAAATCATCATATGAGGACTAAGACCAAATCGAAGACAGCATTTTCGTACATCTGGAAGTGGGATTCTTATTTGTTGTTTCTCCACCTTGTCGAAACTGATGTAAATGTTTAGATGAGGATCTTAGCTGGCCTCAACATGAAGGTCCCCGTTCCCACCTCAACTCCAACAGTTCATGATATCGCAAAAGCAAGAGATAAGAAGCCTATCCTTAACTCAGTGCAAGAATAGATCGACGGATGATACAGGATGAAGGGTGTAATCATCTCCTTTAATTTTCCTATGCATGAAACATCAAGTGGGCTGAATTCCTGAATTTGAACATTTAAGATGCTTATTAACATTTCAGGGTCTTGTTCATGCTTTTCTTTATCTTCATTAATTGCTATGAAATGTTAAATATGCATCTATACATCGAACATGAACCTGGTGCAATAATATTCTTTCTACATGCATCCTCAAGCACGCAATTTTGATTTCTCATGCCCAAAACACTGTCTTCAAAGCTGCTCCCCTAGTGTCACTGAGGACCAATAAAGGTCTTGCTATCTGCCGAGCTCCTTTATGTCTTTTCTGCAAATTGAGAGAAGTCACTAAAGATGGATTCCTCCCAAATAGAAAGTAAAAAAGAAAAGGATAGTGAAAAAGCATTTCCCCGCCTTTATCAAATTCTTATCAGTCCATCAATTTCATCATCGAGACATGCTTTTGGCCCAACTAGTACCTCTTTCAACAGATGCACAGTAAAATTATAAGCATATAATAATTGGAAGCTGGCCCTTTTTCTTTTCTTATGGACAAAGAAAGCGAGTGCAGTGATTGCAGTAGAAATTTGCTCCAAGGACTTTAGGCTCATATACGTATATATATCCATAGTTTTAAATAGCAGTGGGAGTTACAAAAACGGTCGTTATCATAATAATAAAAAAACAATCATGATATTCGTTATTATGAATAAATTAATAATTATTAATAAATTTATTTTAATTTATATATTTTTAACAGTTTTATCTATTAAACATATTAATAAGTAATAATATTTTTAAAAATTTAATATCATTTAATAATAGTTAAATTTATTATAAAAATAGTTAATAACACTTCTAATATATTAATATCACATAAAAATAATAAAATATATTACAACTTCATTATAAAAATTATTGCAGAGGATCATAATAATAATTTTCATTTGATTGTTCGTACTGTGATCCTTAATTATGGCCATAACTATATAGCCTTATCAAATATAATTGCCCAAATAACAAAGCAGCTATGTGATTTTTTTTTTTTTTTTTTTTTAAGATGTTGTAGATTTTGAAATAACTTGTACGATGAGATGACAATTTAATATATTATATGAATCCAATTGGCCTCGAAAAACACTGATTTTTCCATACGTTGTCATGTCTTACTTTTTTATTTATTTATCTTAAGACTACTGCAAAAGACTTTTAGAAATAGAGACAGAAATGCTAAAAAAAACACTAGACCACATGGGATATGGGGCCTCGTGCTGCAATCCATACTTTATTACTGTCATTCAAAGAAAATAGAAAGTCTCGTCTCAATTCACGACTCCCTCTCTTCTGTAACAATTTCTTTTGCATTTTTTTTCCCTTCCCTCTGATCCAAGAACTCAAAACACCCTATGACTACAGTTTACACAAACGCGCTTTCTTTTTTCCTTTTTTTCCCCCTAAAAGCCATATTCATAAAGCATAAGCGGCATCCACACATGATTTGCACCGAACACTAGGTGTGCGCCCAAAAAAAATAAAAACTTTATAGCAAAAGGAGGCCACAAGTCTGAATAGGTAGATAGCTTTTTTTTTAATATAACGTTGTTATATAATGATAAATGCCAATATTACGTAACGATAATACTGTTATTTATTATTATATATATGAAACGTTACTGATAAACCCATAAAATTGAATAATGATAACGAAGTACGTTAAACAATAGTTACATGATGTCGGTAGTTATATTAGGTGACGAATGTTTTTTAAAACTAGAATCAGATCCTAACCTTTGGTAAATCCTTTTTCCTCTGACTATGATCTACCCACCATGGGTACGTGGACCTTTAAACAGGCCTGTATATGACTTGCTAACGGAGTGACCATTGACTTGATGAACCTAAGCCCAATTACTCCATGTCATTACTATCTCGTGGAAGTTTTTGTCCGCATTGCTTTCATTCCGTCAGTGGGTCCTCAGAGTAGCTATAGTACTATGACTTCTAAAGCCCAATAACCTTTCAAAACAATAGAAGCCCATTAATATCTTCCTTCAGTAATCTTTCACAACGTCAGAATTTGAAGTGTAACATGAGCTCCATCTCCAATTCGCAATCCAGAAAATGACTGTTGATCCTCCAATGATGCAAAAGATACGATACAAGCAAAAGGTATACCTGGTTTTGTATCAGTAATCAGGTACGTATGAACCAAACCACTTTTCTCAGCTTTCATATCTAACACACGATTTGGGGTTAATCCCATCCTGGCAGTTCTGGGATAAATCAGAAAAAATAGACAAGGTTTGGTCTGCAAAAAAAAAAAAAAAACCCAGATATAGTGGAATGTGAGCCTGTGAGACAAACTACTCCGTAAGCATCGGCCTTACAGCTCCCTTCTAGAAACTAACATTAACAAACTAGTGGAATGTGAGATATGGTTCAACTAGCTGAGTTCGTAAAGTTTCTCAATAACGACACAAATCTGAGAAATATCTCTATCTTATTAGAATTATTGACACGGTGATGATCCTCAACAGCTTAGTTTAACTTCTTATCAAGTAACATGTGTGAATGATATGTATCAGGGCGATGGCATATATCAACGACCATAACTCCATAAGCAAAATCATTTTTCCAAGAGAACTGGACCAGAATCCAATCCAGAGCACCAAATTCCTTAAAGTCCCTAACTTACATAGTGATAACCAGTACTTCTAAAGAACTATAACAAGAAGACAACTCAATAGACCGGATTTATGAGGACAGGAACAGGGTCAATGAACCTTACCTGGGTACTTTGTGACTAAAATAGCCGTTTGCACTCATAATGAGAACAGAAAGGAAATAGCCAATAGATTCAACTACGGATAAAAAAAGATGTGCTCTTATATGGGTTCAAGCGACATCATAAGTTCATAACATTCATGGAATCCGAGAAACAAACAAAATAACAAGAGTCAACGGCTTGCAACCTTCAAAATTGGCCCTTCTGCCTCCCAAGACATGAACTAAACCAGCTAGAGACTAGACACCCTGTATTCCATATTGTTGCCAAGTTGCTATCGCAGAGCAACAGTTATGAATATTCAACAGCACAGAACAGAAACCCTTTGTTTTAACCATAAGCCTATGGGCTCCAATCCAGTCAATTCAAACATATCAAAATACATAAAAATTGAAACAGCACAGAACAGAAACCCTTTGTTTTAAGCATAAGCCCATTGGCTCCAATCCAGTCAATTGAAACGTATCAAAAGACCAATTAAAAAAAAAATGAATCTAAAACATATAGCGTGGGAGGAAGCATCAATTTTATCTTGAAAAGTACAAGAGATGACAGCTGACATACAATAAGCTTGGGTTATTCAACTGCCACAATAATCCTAAAACCCCTAAGGCCTAAAAAGAAGAAGAGATGACAGCTGACATACAATAAGCTTGGATTATTCAACTGCCACAACAATCCTAAAACCCCAAAGGCCTAAACCATCTTTCCTAATAAAATTCTGACCAAAAATTAAGGAGGGAACCCTCAACCTCCCCCAACACAATTTCAATCAATAGTGTTACAATAACAAAGCAGTCAAATTTCCCAACTTTGACTAGTACCCCCGTTAAAATTTTCAAATTTGTAAAACACCCATCATCTAAATTTCATTTTACTTATTCTTGATAGTGATTCCAATCTCACCTGCAACAATAACAGTAGTTGCCATATCAAGAAACATTCCATGCTCAACAACCCCAGCTAGCCTCAAAATAGCATCACTGGCAACCTTTAAATCCCCAATATCCTTCTTAAAGAACAAATCCACGATATAATTCCTATTATCAGTAACAAAAATCTCACCATCTTCACCCGCATTATTAGTCCTCAATTTCGCAACACATCCCGCGTAATCAAACAAACTTTGCAGCCTATCTTGAGTAAATTTCCAACAAAATGGCACAACTTCCACAGGCATAGCACCACTAGCACCAACATGAGCCACCAATTTAGACTCGTCAACAATAACAATAAACTTCTTGCAAGCACTCTCAATCATTTTCTCTCTAAGCAAAGACCCACCACGCCCCTTAACCAAATTGAGATTCGAGTCCACCTCATCGGCACCGTCGATTGCAAGATCAACGACGGGATGCGAATCGAGGTCGGATAAAGGGATTCCAAGAGACTCGGCTTGTTGATGGGTTTTTTTGGAGGTGGGTATGCCTATAATGTTCTTCAATTTGCCTTGGTGTAAGAGATCGGCGATTCTATCAACAGCGTGTTTGGCAGTGGAGCCGGTGCCTAGGCCGAGAACCATACCGGATTGGACAAACTCGACGGCTTTGTAGGCGGCGATTTTTTTGAGCTCGTCTTGTGTTAGGATTAATGGGGAAGGAGAAGAAGGAGACCTAGCTCCTGACTCTATAGATAGCTTTTCTGATCTAATTAGAGGTGGACAAGGGATAGCCATTTTTTCTTTCGCTTTGTTGTTAAGAATAAGAATGACAAGAAACAAAAGAACAAAAATTAAAATTGTTTATGTGAAAAGGAAATAGAGGATGAGGAAAGGGATTATAAGATCATTGTTGAAGGAGATGTATATTGAGGAGGGGAAGAAAAGTCGAGTTATGTGGATGGGAAGAGATAGGGTTTGGAGACTAGTGTATGTGTGGGAAAGAACGTTTAGGTTGTGGTGATTTTTATAGAGAGGATAGGAAGGGTGGTGGTCCTGGGGGAGGAAAAAGGGAGGAAGGGTTTGTTTGGAATGAGGAATTGTGCGCTTCGAGCGGAATGGAAATTGCTTTAATTGCGAAGAAGAAAAGAAAAGTGATTATTTTCGTTACTTCTTTCAAGACATGTCATATTTGCAGTCCAACCCCTCCTACTTAAATCTTGCGTGTAGCATGCTTTGGAGTAAATTATAAATTATTCTCTCTAGCTTTAATAAATAAATAAATAACATTTTTGTTTTACAAATTAAATATTTAATTTAATATTATTTTATTTTAAAAAAATATTTTTTTCTTATCAATATTTTCATGATATTAATTAATTTATTTTTTAAAACAAATTAGAAAAAATAAAATAAAAAAAGACTAAAAAAACTAGTTTTTTTAACGGAGATGATAATTAATTCATTTTTCAAAACTAAAAAGACTAATGTATATTTTATTTTACGATTTATATATATAATAGAGAGAGTGTTTGACGATTTTTTTTCCTTCCTTAAAGTACTTGGAAGTAGATTGTTTAACTTAATCACTTTAATCTATTTAGACTAATTAATCAATCATTGTAACAACCGAGACTTTGAACATAGCATATGCATATGTGTGCACGTTTATTTTGTTAAGTATGTATATGCTTATCTTTGTGTGATTTACGTTGACAACAACTTGTCATGTCGGGATATGTGATAATCGTTAATGAGTTTTTGGTTTTACAAGTTCATGTTGCTAAGTGTTATGGATGTGTGGGTGACTAGAAGACGCAAATATGACACTTAAAAGACCGAGAGCTTAAATGAGTTAAGTGGCAATGTAAGATGACTTATTTGTTAAGTTTTTCAAACTTGATGAACCTAGAAGCTATTGGTTGAAAATCTAGAAATATAGCTTGATTTAATGTCCGATGCATGTGTCAACCTTAGACTTTCTTGAATTATTTTAATTTTATCCTAGAGGAAAAAGATGGAAGAGAGTTGTTCGAGTCTCATTTGTGGTGGTTTTGGCATTAGAAACCTAAGAACAATAAGAGAGAAAGCTGATTCTACCAAGAGAAACAATTTTAGCCGAGAGAGAATTTGGCGAGATAGGAAGAAATTCTGGACAATGTCTTGCCAAGAGTGAAACAAGAGAGAAAAGTGAGATTTTTAGAGTTTTGGGATGTTTTCAATAGTAGTTAAATCCAACTCACTACAAAGACAAGTAGATGTTATATGATTTTGTATTCATATGTTTACCTATATATTAAACACTTTTGATGATATGTTTACTTGATATTTTGCACTTTAATTATTTATCCATGCCATGAGAATATTCTATCACGGTTCAAGTATTCAAAGAAAGGTCATGTTCATGTTCAAAAAAGGCTTCAAAAGAGAATGATCCGATATATACTTTATGCAAAGTTCTCGACTAGACTATATTTTTGTTTTTCAAAGTTTTTATAAAGCATGGTTTTGAAAGAAGGTTGAATCATAAATTTAGCGAGTGTGCTTGAAAAAAAATAAATTTAGAGATGAAAAGCATGTTTATTGAATCTATGCATGATTACATTTATTAAGCTTTGGCTAATTGTTTATCTTGTGATGTAGTTGAGTAAAATGATGCATGAATGCATGTTGTGATGTTGAAAAAGTTGTCACAAATGTGCTAAGTTTGCAAAAATGTGTATTATATGCATAGGATTAAAGTTTAAAGACTAAATAATTCATATGTTTCATAGGTTTAGTCATTTTTATTTGTTTACCCTTGTTACATTTGGTCTATTTTGATATGTCAACATATGTACGAGTTTTCGAGTTTATGAAATGGTTTTACAATCTGTGAAACTTGTGCTAGCTTTAAATATATGAAAACAAGATTACTTTAAACTTTAAACAAAAATATTTCTACTATATATTGTATGTTATACACAAGGTAGAAGTCATAGGGCTTTGTTTTACATTCTACAAGTATGTGGCATTGCCATAATACTCCTAGCCTTTTTAAGATCGAGGGTGTTACGGATTTGCTATCGGAGCAATAAGACTTTATAAGCCTAAATAATACATGTAAACTCAAGTCTCAAAAACATCGTTAATATGTAAGTGTTTAAATTTATTGAATATGAACTCTTATTTATTATTATAGCAAGTGTGTTTGATAATTATGTACTATATTTGCTTGATGAACTATATGAATATGCTTGATACTTGTTGAACTATAGATATGTTTGAGTGTCGATCTATGAACTATGTTATCTATATAAGTGTAAAGGAAATCGGATGAGTATGACAAGAAAAAATCATGATAGCACAGAGACAAGTAACATGGCTACCAACCAAAAGGAAAATAATGAGCCTACGAGCAATGTACTTTCGATAGAGTAAATGTTTAAATTGTTATGATAGTAGCAAGAATTACAGCAATAACAATAGAGACATGATGAACGGATATGAATTTTAATGGCTATACGACGACGAATGAGACAATAGGGAAGCCATCTTAGAGAGTTGACAAAGTTAAGCGATTCAAAAAGTTTAAACTAAAGGAATTTTTAGGCAAGTTTGATCCTATGGTTATCGAATAGTGGATGGAGTCCTTAGAGATGATTTTCAATTATATGGCAATAAAGGATACGGATAATGTATTTTGTACCATTTTTATATTGGTTAGAGATGCGAGGGCATGGTAGGAATTGGCAAAAGTTTTTTTCCCTAATCTTACACGCCCACCATTCAAAGAGGTTTTCAATAAGAAATTCTTCTCCGATAGCATGAAATCAAAAAAAGATATATGAGTTTATGAAGTTAGAGCAAGACGACATACTAGTGGCCAAGTATGAACAAAGGTTTGAGCATGGCTGCCGATTTGCGAATTTCATTTTAAGGGTTGCCATACGAGAAGATGGGTTATTTTTTAGGGGTACGAAACTAAAAGTACGAGTGTCGATGGAAAATTACGATGAGCTGGTTTAGTAGAGCACTAGAGATAGAGAAAGACTGTAAAAAGGTTACGCGGTTTCAACAAGCTAAGAGCCCATATGTTATAAATAAATATAGTGAGTAGACTATCAAATGAAATTAGTTTGTAAGGACATGGCCTAATAATGCTATGAAAGCTAAAATTTCTAATGGATAGCGAGAGGATAAAAGCGTAAGACAAGTCAAATTACGTCAAGTATAATAAAAAATATATCAAGGATTATTTGATTGGCACCAATGTTTGTTACTTTTGTAAAAAAGTTGAACGAGTTAGTAAGTAATTGGCCTAAGAAGAGGGATGTACCAAAAGTATTAGGGAGAGTGTATATGATGATGCTTGAATTAAGTTGAAAAGAAATATACATCGGTGATGCGTCGTAATGTTATAATATTTTATCTTATTGCATATACTTTAGTTGATTTGGCCGTCATACATTCATTTATATCATGGTCCTTGTTGAAAAAATTGAGAGTGATACTTGAGACACTTGAAATTGTAAATGAGGTAGCTCTCTCGTCGGGAGAGACATTAGATTATATGGACACGGTTAAAGATTGTGAGTTACAAATTGGTAATAAAGTTTTGAAAGTTGTTTTGGTGGTTTTGAGAATTCAAGACTTTGATTTGATTTTGAATATGAATTGTTTATCCAAGAATAACTCATCGATTGATTATCTTGTGAAGAAAGTTATGTTTCAATAATTAAAATAACAACCATTTGAGTTTTGAGCTAAAAACAAGTTGAAATCGGTATGCATTGTCTTGGTAGTGACGAACTTAGAAAATTATCAAAAATGAGCACATGAGTTACTTGGTTAATATGGTGAATATCATAAAGAATGAAAAAAAAATTGGAAGACATTGACATAGTGAGGGACTTCTATTATGTTTTTCCCGAGATTTTGCCAAGAGTACTACTGAAAAGAGAGGTTGATTTTAAGATTAAGCTCAAACCCAAAATGGTATTAATTTCTAAAGCATCATACAAGATAGCACATTTGGAGCTAAAAAAGTTAAAAATTTGGTTACAAGACTTGTTGAACAAAGGCTATATTTGACCTAGTTATTCATCGTAGGGAGCATTCGTGTTGTTTGTGAAGAAGAAGGATGAGATAATGTTGTTATGCATTGACTATCGAAGCTTAAACCGAGTTATCATGAAAAAACAAGTATCCATTTTCTAATATCAATGATTTATTTGATCGAGTTGAGAGGGAGCTCTATGTTTTTAAATATTGATTTACAATCAAAATACTATTAGTTAGAGGTTAGAGAAGAGGATGTGAGGAAGATGACCTTTAGAACATGATATGGATACTATAAGTTTTCGGTGATGTCGTTTGGGTTAACTAATGCCCTAGCTGTGTTTATGGGCTTGATGAACTGAGTCTTTCATGAGTATTTGGACAAATTTATCATTATGTTTATTTATGATACTATGTTATATTCTAAGAGCGAGGAAAAACATATGGAGCATTTAACAAAAATATCGTAAACTTTGTGAAAGCATAAATTATATGCTAAGTTAAAAAATATGCATTTTTTCTTGAGCAAATATCTTTCCTTGAGGATGAGATTATGGTGGATCCTAGTAAGATTGAGGTAGTGTAAGGGTAAAAAAATTGAATAATCTGTTTAAAGTAAAGAGTTTCCACGAGTATAGAAAGTTATTGAAAGTTTATGAAAAAAATTTCAAAGATAATCACTCTACTTTTAAAATTGACTAGGAGGAGCAAAAAGTTTTTTTTGGGATGATGAGTGTGAGAGGAGTTTTTTAGGATTT